GAGAATTGCCGCTCTTCTTGTTGTGAGTGACACTGTAAGTGGTCTCAAGATTGTTACGGTGGGAGACTCGTTTTCACAACAGTTTTCGTCCCAGTTGCCTAACCAGGAAGGTCTTTCAGGGCGTGCCAAGCTTTTTGAAAACGGTCTTTTGCATGATATAGGGGCACATGCGGGAACCACAGAACCATGGTTAATTTTTCCTGAACGGCCCTCTGAATACCAGAAAAGGGGTCCCTAGTTCGATTCCTCGTGGTGACAAATTTTTGCATTTCGAGTTGACGTTCCAAAATTCGCAAAATCTGATCGTACTAATGGTATGCTACTCCATTTTGCGCGAATTTTGGAACGTCAACTCGAAATGCAAAAATTTGTCACCACGAGGAATCGAACTAGGGACCCCTTTTCTGGTATTCAGAGGGCCGTTCAGGAAAAATTAACCATGGTTCTGTGGTTCCCGCATGTGCCCCTATATCATGCAAAAGACCGTTTTCAAAAAGCTTGGCACGCCCTGAAAGACCTTCCTGGTAAGGGCTTAACATGGCTCAAAGCTAGGAAGTACACACTATCCTATCGAATGCCTCCTCCTACTTACCAACGTTAGCTCTTCGTGAATGTGTAGCTCTGTCAGTGACAGATAATTGCCTTATGCCCATTTTCAAAAAGCTAGATCAATTCTGGTTAACTGGCTGACTACATTCTACACCTCCACAATAACTGGTACCTAAAACTTTCTTGAAAACTCTAAGCGGGGGTGGGGAACGTTCTTGTTACTAGTAATCACTCTATGAGCTCAAGGACCTTTGCTCAATTTCAAGTGTGAAAGTGGAGTGAGTGCATGGCTTATCCTGCTCTGCTCAGGACATGCTCCGCATTGTGCATACCGCCGACTGGGACACACCTGTGGTGAATATCCGCGGTGAGCATCTATTCGCCAGTTGGCGTGCAGTGCTGAATGATGGACAGCGCAGTGTGCGACCGCTGTACTCGTTCAGCAGACACGACGTCCTTACAGAACGTCATTGGTGAGTCACCGATAACCAGCACGCTACAGTGACTGGCTAGGTTCTTCAACAACTTTGAAATTCAGGCCGGACAAACGCATCTGGCACGGTTCGTCAAGCGGCGGCATCCGCGCCGGTGATTACTGTGACGGATGGAGGACGAATAATCGTAAGTGCCAAGTACATACACACAGTAATATGTTACAGTAGCCTAATTACCAAATTCAGCGTCTTTGTCTGCGATGGCTGGCGATTTACGAGTACCTGGTGGTTTGATCTCGGCAGCGCAGCCGCGAGCTGCGATCAAAACCGTGTGAATCGGTTCTCGTGGCTGATCGAGGTGTGGTTGTCGCAGCTAAATCACTGAGTACTGAACTTGCTCTCTTCCTGAGGCTTCTTAATACCGGAAAAATGCTGCAGACTGATCCGGAAAAGCGGCTCATCTTCTCAAAATTGACTCAGAAATCGCCGTGCCGCCCCCCGGCCACGTGCAGTAGCAGTCAAGGGTGTTCCTCTAAGAGGTATGTATAAGTTCTTCGCTACAGATATTTTCTCTCCCGTAACCACTTTCCTTCGAATAATGATATGATGTGTTTTGTAGTCTGATCCCGTTAATTGTGAAGATTTATGGCATCCCAGAGAAAAATGGTTGCTTGAGCTTTAAACCTTGTTTAGAAGAAAAGTTAAGTACACTAAAAGCCCTTCGGCGCGTTTCCACCGCTACTGTGAAATTTTACCGCCGGGTGGATGCAGTATTAGACCACTTCCGTTCTGCTGCTCCGTAGGTTTATGCCTCAGGTGGTGCTGGCCGCTGATTCACGCATGCCAAAATTGCGATGTTCATTCCAAATTGCTTGAAGTTCTCGATTTTCTGCTCTCTGACATCCACTATTGCTATGTAAATGGCGACCTTTAGACCAGAGAAGCCACAGGCCGTCGCATGTGCGCGTGCATCGTAGTGGTGGGTGATTTCGGTTCTCTGTGAGCTCCTGCTCGGACCATTTCGATGTTTGTCTACCGTTTTTCGTATCTTGCTTCTATCAAAGGGTTATATGCTACGCTTCTAGAACAGCGGAAAACGATTTTCGGTGCATACCCTCGCCTCAAGACAAATTCACTAATTGAAAGGCAACATACATCATATCGCCTAACGAATCGGGCTACACGTGCTTCTCCCTAGAGGTCAGGTTATCCTGTGGTATATGTTATTACCAGGGCCTATTTGACAAATCTGCCAGTTCTCGGCAATTCAGTCGCAAGGGTCTGAATTGAATCTGTGTGGGAACATAGCAATGCGAAAATATGTCCCCAATCTCGTGCGCCAAACGGGTGTTCCCCAAGAGGCCCGTCGCCCGGAAGGAAGAGACGCCAGACGCGGCAAAGGACGGGTCGCAGCGCGTGCTGATGATATGAGACGATAGTATGGTACACTCTATTATAACCTGACGCCTAACCGCTATAGTATGCGCTGCGACTCGTCCTTTAAAGCGTCTGCGTCTCTTTCTTCGCGCGCGAATGGGCCTCTTGGGGCAGAGTCAACCCTGCGTTGCGCAGTTCGCAACGGCACGTTGAGAGATCCTCAACGCACGCTGTATGGGCGGAGACGCAGACGGCTCGAGCATGCGAGTGTGAATGTTCGCGCGAGAGAACGTGTCTAATCGGGCGAAACTGCGCAACGTGGCCGTTGAGAACTGCGCAACGCAGGGTTGACTCTGCTTGGGGGACACCCGCGCCAACCACGCCCAATAATCAATTCTGCTCATACTTGCGCCCTTATTTTTCTTAACTTTTACATTTTTTTTTTTTTCAATGTCAGTCATCGCAACGATCAACATTTTTTATTATCGAGCTTGAAGACTTTGATTCCTCCTTTCTTCTCAGAATATGTCCAAGTTCCATGGTGATCGAATTCTGAAGAAGAGGCGATTGGGCACCGTGATATGGTGATCGTTGCCGTCCACCGTTATCATCGTCGTCGTCGTCGCCATTGCCGTCAAGGTGCTACAGTATCCTGCCAAAAATGAGCTACCGTATCCACTGTACGATATGTGTGTGTGTTGTACTGTAGGCACTGAATTCTCAGCAGCATGCGCTTTAAATCTCCCTCTGTTCTCTCTGTGGCTACTTTTTCTTCCTGTCGTAGTTTGTCGAGTTGTTTGCTCTTCATCGTCTTCTTGTCTCACCCACAAATGTTCTGCCGTCACAAATCCGGTGTTTTCTTGCCATTCCTTCTTAATTATTTCACTTTTTGTTTATTGATTAACTGATTAATTGATTGAATAGTTAAATGACGATGAATGATGACGTCATCCACACATTCTGAGTATTGTATGTGACCCACCGCCGCGCCGCGTTCATGCCCTCCACAGCATCTTTCAGCGTGTAGCCGCCTACAATAGAGTATTTTCGTCAAAAAGCTTCTCATGTGTGCAATATTTGTATAGATCTGGTCAGACCTGATATTATTTTTACATCTCCAATTTTATAAAGCGATTTCTACATTTGTAACGATTGTGTACATGCGGTAACAGCGCAACGGGTTGAAGCCCCGCTGCAGGATCAATCCCACAGCCGCCGTCTCTTCCGTTTAAACAAGCTTGGCGAAGGGGCGTCGTGTTTCTTTGCATGGGAGAAAGGCCGTATTTTTTTGTGCGTCGGTGATGGTGACAAAAAAGGTGATCGTTTCGAGATTTCTTTGGTGGGGAGGGGGGGGGGGTTAACGTAACGATTTTCAAAATGGGCAATGGACCGTTCATTCTGGTTCCACTCATGTCGAAAAACTCCCAATTTCTTCTGTCAATTTATAGTTGGCTGATCTTGCGTAGGAATTCTAATAATTACATAAGAGGTCCACGTATAGGCACACTACCATCACTGATCTCGAATTCGTGTGGGAGTCGAACGCGTGGCGCAACCCAAAGAAAATATTGAACGTTGAGTCTTAAACCTCAACATTTTATAATCGATCAAAAGTAGCAAAAAAATCATGAAAAAAAACCCTGATGGTGATTTTTATAAGCTGTTCTCCGCTCACGATCAGAGCGTTGAGCCCATCTCTCACTACGGCAGAGCAGCAACCCAAGATGTGTGGTTGGTGTGTCACATGGTCCGACGTAACTGGAAGTAACCTATACCTCACTTCTTATTGGCTAATGGAAGCATATGGAAGAACAACGACTTGGTCATGGTACTTCGTACCCTCCCAGACAGACATAAATTGGCGTCACGCTACTCGACTGTGCTCTGCGTCTCTAGGGTTACGGATATACAGTGATAAGGGTACAAACCCTGATAACACCCTGACAGCACTCGAAGTAACTTTTCGTGTCCTAGATCATAGGCATCCTATCCATTTTTTGCACATGTTCGGTGGTCAACCCAGTGTGAAGCTCCTCTCCTGCCCCATCCTCGTCCCCCTTGGGCTTATGCAAATATTTACTGCATTTGGCTCAAGATCACTGAACTGCTCCTCGATCACTTCATGGAGTCATTGTTTACATATGAAATATCGTATTGAAAAGTGATCTCGACTTGGAGTTGAGATAAAATGCGTGAGTATCCAAGTAAAATATTGGGTTGTCCCATCATTCCTGTCCGAATTTTGACATTTTCTTCCTCATCCAGTTTATCTTTCAAAAAACAACTGATCAAAAATATAACCATTGTCAAAATCACCGATATGAATCCATTCACCAGGAAACCTCTAAATGCTTTTCTTCCGTGAATGGGTGAAGCTATGACTGAAGAATTCAGGACAAGTTTGTTTTGGGAGTGGTTGTGTTTAGTGACTTTTTTCTCGTCGCTGCTGCCTCAAGGCATCATGAAAGGGACAGTGCGATTGCCAAGGTTATACGATGACGTAGTATCGTGGTCCAGCCAGCATCCCACAGAGCGTAGCGAGTTATCTTTGCAATGTGAGGTCGGGC